AGCTGAATACTTGAGTGCTAGAATGCTAGTGAGTAAATAATCATGCGTACCTTCTGCCCCCTGCACCATTGGGGTTAGTGCCTTTATATAGGCTTTGTTTGGCATGGGCTTCACGCACCGCATCCGAGATTTCTAGGAGATCATGCCTAACCGGTCCAAAATCCTCAGAGGTAACCACCATGCACGTTCGCCACCCTCCGAAACGTTCTGTACATGAGCCAACTTCCAAGAAACGTAGTAGTGTCAGGATATGCATGCCGAATTTGTTGGAGAGCACGTCTCGCAGGTCGCCACCTGGACCTCAATCAGGCCAGCACGCCCTCGAGGGAGGTCGTTCCTCGCGTCGAGGTCACATCGACCAGTGATGAGGTGCTACAGGTCAGCCCTGGGTGAGGTGCTTCTAGCCGACCTGGGTTGTGGTCGAGGTCGCCAGGTTGGCGGTGAAGGCAGGTCGCCAGGTCGGGACAAAGAGAAACCACGATCTATGACTCCAAGTCATTGCTTAGGTGGTGCCTATGTGTCATCCAGCTATTCTAAGATGTCATGTGTCACGATGTCATTGGAGGGCCAAATCTGCCTTCATCAATTGCCCCCCACTCCTGAGTTGAGAGTAGCTTGGCGAAGGGAGTAGATTGTTCCTTTGGCCAGGAATGACTGTTTGATGAGCTCGTAGTCATAACATCGGTCAAATTTTCTTCTCAGATCGGAAGAGTTCGAGTGTTTGTAGCCTTATGTAGGACCTCGCCATCTTGATTCTCAGGACATGAGAGTGAACTCATCTGCTCGAGGAGAGGTGAAGTAGGTACCCCAAGGACATCTACCTTATTAGGGATGCAACCATCAAGGGGTTCTACAATCCGACCATTACCTTGAGAGCGAAGCTCATCATGCCATCCTCAAGAGGGGTTCTAACTGCGTGATTGCTTTATTAGGTCGCTCCACCTAAGTAGACTTTGACGTAGTGTTACTTGAACTGGTTCTCAAAAGAGTAGCCAAAGAATTCGACTCGGAGCCTAAAACCGAGTTGGAGGTCGATTGTGAAGAGATCGGCCAAGTTTGCGTTTGTCATGATGTCGAATTGGTATGTTGAAAGGGTGTTGTATTTTGTCCTCCACTCCATTGCGTAAAAGTTTTCTAAGTGTGGATTTGCCCCAAGGTGCCAAACTGTATGTACACCGATGAGGCTAAATGCGAAGTGCTTTTTTTATTTCGCCCATGCCGAAGAGGCGACTGGGTATATTTTCGAGCTGACGTGGATTTTTCTAAGTGTGGATTACTAACGAAGTGTCAAGCTGATGAGCTAGGCTCTAATAGGAATAACCTGATTCTCAATGTACGCCAAAGTGAACAGACATTGTAGGGTATATGCCCGTCTTGCTTACGTACAAGCTACTTTTTTATTTGCCCATGCCAAAGAGGCGACTGGGTCTCATGTGGTGCCGAGGTCTTTTACCAGCTCGACACCTTAGCCCTTAGGCTCTGGGAGCGACTCGTGGTCCATTATCTTTATCCTTATTTAGCCGATGTGCGGCCTGACCTTTCTGCCTAAGCGGGTGGTCATTTTGTAGTAATTTCTCATATGGCTACTTCTACATCGTCACTTGAGATTGGCTTCCCCGGCAAGGTGCTTGTAAGATCATGGCGTACTGCTCCTAGAACCACTAACTGTCTGCTTCTATTGGAGTCATGGGAGGCTCACCCTGAGGGGGCAGCTCTGTTGTCTATGGGTCGTCTACTCTCATGGGAACCATAAGGGGCTCGACCTATGAGGGTGGTTCCACTTTCAGCTCACTTCCAACTCTCACGGGGCCCATAAAAGCTCGACCTGTAGTGAGGCTTCGCAGTTCGGGCTGGATATAGTCTAGGTCAGATCGCTGAGGCTCACCTGAATTGGTTATTCACTTCTGTTCTGTTTGCAGGTTTTGTCATTACTTTTGACGTCAGATGACAAGTTGATGTCACGGTTGCACTGCATCAACCCTCGGAGGCGCTGGTCATCAACTCCTACGAGAAGCCATAGGGAGCTTGACCTACGGGAGCAGCTCGACTAGCTGTAGGTTGCCAACTCACACGGGAGCCCTGAAAAGCTCGACCAGCAAGGGCGTCCGCACAGTCTGTAGGCTGCTAACTCCCGTGGGAGCCGCAAAGGGTTCAACCTGTAGGGGAGACCTCACGAAAAAGTCTAATGAGGCTCATCCGGGCTGAAATGGGGTCGACAGAGCAGCTTAGTTGGTTGGCCATCAACTTCCGCAGGAACCACAAGGGGCTCGACCTGTGGGGGCGGCTCTACTCCGAGGTTCCTATCGTCGGACTACTAGTTGTTAAGGTCGTTCTCTTGTTGATTGCTCGAATGCACTAAGCTTCTTGATTGTCTTGGAGGAGGGTTCTCATGTTCTTGCCCCCTAGTAATTGATTCTTTGTTCTCGATGTTGGTGCTGCTTAAAAATGCCATTGAGTTAATAAAAAATGGAAAATAGAGAGTGAGAACTTAAATTTTTAAAAGGTGAGATTTTATCTTTCTAGGAGAAGAGGACTTAGCCTTTTAGAAAGTGAGAACTTAGCATCTTGTAACGTTTCCCACAGACGACACCAATTGATGATGTAGATTTTGGCAGCTCCCCCGCTCACTGCTGATTAGTGGTGCGCAATCTAATTGCTCTCTGGTCATTTGGCTACTTCTTGATGGCTAATGACTCTAGAGCTGAGTTATATGATTTCTACTAGATGAAGGCTCTGATAAAGATCTGACTTGGCGGAGCTAGGTTGATTGCCAAGCTGCGTTTCCTTTTCAGAGAGACCTGTAAGGAATCAACGTCAGAGGACCCGGGGTGGCTAACCCGGCAAAGTCACTCTGATGCTTAAGTTAGTATTGTACTCTGGTTGTGAGCTGAATACTTGAGTGCTAGAATGCTAGTGAACAAATAATCATGCGTACCTTCTGCCCCCTACGCCATTGGGGTTGGTGCCTTTATATAAGCTTTATTTGGCATGGGCTTTACGCACCGCATCCGAGATTTCCGGGAGGTCGTGCCTAACTGGTTTGAAATCCTCAGAGGTAACCACCATGCACATTGACCAACATCCGGAACGTTTAGTACGTGGGCCAACTTCCAAGAAACGTGGGAGTGTCGGGATATGCATGCCGAATTTGTCGGTGAGCACGTCTCGCAGGTCGCCACCTGGACCTCAGTCAGGCCGGCATGCCCTCGAGGGAGGTCGCTCCTTGTGTCGAGGTCACATCGGCCAGTGACGAGGTGCTACAGGTCGGCCCCGAGCAAGGTGCTTCTAGCCGACCTGGGTTGTGGTCGAGGTCGCCAGGTTGGTGGTGAAGGTAGGTCGCCAGGTCAGGGTGAAGAGGAACCGCGATCTGGGACTCCAAGTTATTGCTTAGGTGGCGCCTATGTGTCATCCAGTTGTTCCAAGATGCCATGTGTCACAATGTCATTGGAGGGCCAAATCTGTCCTCATCACTAGTAATCATCCATTAAGTGGCATTTGAAAAAGACGTAAATGCCCTTCAAGTGTCATATAATTTTCTTTATCAACCATTCAAACGTTGACAAAAAATTAGCAGTCCCAAATCCTTGCCTTTTCTATTCAAGAAAGTTGAGGTCATGTCTTAGTGGCCATTTTGGTGACCCCGACTTTGATGAATAGAAGAGGTAAGGATTTGGAATTGTTAATTTTTTGTCAATATTTGAATGATTGATCAAGAAAATTAGTTGATACTCAAGTGCATTTATGCTTTTTTCAAATACCACTTAATAGCTAATTAACAGCTGATTAATAATAGGAATTGGATTGACATATTTTAAAATTTTGAATACTAAAATATCGCATTTTAACGTTGAGAGAGCAAAATGGCACCTAAAGTACAATATACTAATCGGAAATTTTCCCTAGGAAACCTAATAAAACAATATGTACACTCCCATCCCATGTGAAACATGGTCATATTTTAAAGTCAAAACCACGTACACACTACTTGTTGTTCCCCTTCTCAATCACTTTTTCTTTTTGATGTTTATTTTTTTGTCTAATTCCGATTTCCTTCTCAGAGAATTGATCCTCACACCCACCCACAGCCTATCCAGCCACATGGGGAACGTCTCCATAACAAGCCCTTGCAGCCACACAAATTGGGATTGCCTTCATACTCCATAATTGTATGTTTTTATTTTTTTGGGAGATGATTGCAGTGAGATGTGTGTGAGGATAATTTTGTGAGGAGGAAATCTGGACTTTCTTCTAACATCACCCCTACTTTCACATGGCACAACCCAAACAGATGGGTAGAATACTAGATCAGTGCACACGCGGCTACAAAACAGGAATAGATTGATATAAACTACATGAGGAGTATCTAAATTTGGTAATTTACAACTCTACTAGCTAGGAGCCTAGGAAGGAGGGTTAAGCTCTTAGGTCGAGTCTTCCTTGGTTCGTTGACGAAAAGACGCAAGCATCCTTATCTTAAATTTCATTGGTCCACCTTGTCTCTTATGCCACGTCAGATTAATAAATAGCAATGACATTTCAAAGGTTTTCCACGGCAGAGAACGAAATGAATAGTCTTTCCAAAAATAAAGAAATAAATATGGTTTAGACTTAAGACGGATAGGTTGAGCAAAAACCTAAAAAACTTACCGCCGTTTGTAAAATGTCCTAAATGTCATATTTTAATCTGACGTGGCATAAGATATGACATGGGCCAATGAATTTTTAAAGGACATTAGGACGCTTGCGTCTTTTCTTGAAGCACGGAAGGAAAAACCCCTGTTCATTCTACTAAAGTCATTTCGAAATTTTCGGGTTGTCGTTCGTTGATCCCGTTTAAGATTTCCTTTCTAGGATAATATATTCTGAGAAAAAACAATCCACCCCGTCCTTCCATCTCTCTCTCTGTCTCTCACACACACGCACACAATTTCGCTGCGAAAATGGGAAAGAAAGGTCAGAAACATAAATACCCATATGAACATCTTTGTTGAGACGGAAGGAGGGGAGTCAAATTCAATTCGCTTTGCTTCCTTCCTTCTAACCCAGAGTTAGTTCATGGGCTGAAGATGGTGAAATGGTCACCATGGATGTCACCGACATCCAAGAAGTTTCAGGTGAGGATGAAGCTGAAGAGACTGGAAGGTTTTGAGTTCGACAGCTATGGCAAGGAAAATGAAGAGCAAGACACAGAGAAAGTGGTGGCTGTTGAGATGAAATGGAAAGCATCCAAAGGGAGATTAGTCCCCTTGCATCGGTCGTTGTCCAAGCACCGCCGTCGACATGTTTCCGCCGAGATAATTCCAACAAGAGGTGGTGTGCTTGAATGGGACGACGATGAATTCGAAAGCGTGCCTAGCTTGTCGATGTTGCAGAAGGACAACTCGTTCAACCCATGCAATGTTTCATTCAATCTTCTCTTTGTAAGTTTTTTTTTTCCCTATACTTAAGAATTAAAGAAAATCCGATTCTATTTGACAAAACTCCTGCTTCAAAAGACCTTATCATCCACGTTTCGTTGACGTGGCCTTAGTGATATGCAGGGACAAAAGGGTAACAAACTCCCAACGATAGGGACGACTACGCTGAACATTGCCGAACTGGCTTCACGCATGGAAACTCAGGTAGAAACGAAGCTTCCGATCACTTTACAGGTTGCCGGCGTCGCCAGCGAAGCTTCGCTTTTGGTACGTTATTTATTTATTTAATTTAATAACAAAATATCATTCATTTCTGCAAATTAACAGTCTTTCTTCGGATCGAATATTGAAATCTACAGGTATTGATAAGCTTTGTCGAGATCAAGAGCTCCTCCTACTCCAAGGAACCCTTGGAAATTACCCACGACGAATGCATGGTTGATAAGGATGATGGGTTCTTAAGAAAAATGATGGATCTAACAGGCTATGTCTCTAAGAATAAAAAGAAAAAGACGTATGCGGAGAAGAGCCGAAAGGGCTCGAAAATATACTCTGGTGAGACGACGGACGATTCATCCACATTTGACTCAAACATCTCGCCGGGAAATGATTCAGGTTCAATCGAGCAGGAGTTAGGCCAGATGGATCACCTCTCAAAACAGTGCGCGATGGTAGCAACTGGAGACGAGCCATCAGCTTACTATCGTGAAAATAGTATGACGAAGGTTCAGTTGGGACCGTCTCTGAGTTCAAAAACTCAGTTGGACTCGGTACCGAAGTTTGGGTTCTTGTCGTGGAAGAAGAGGAAGCTGTCAATGAGAAGAAAAGATGAGCCACTGATTAGGAAGACCAAACGCGACGAAACCGTTGATTTAGCGGTATGTATATTTTTAGAATTTTATATTTACAATTTCATATTACCAAAATATACCCCAAACCGCTTCACAACTTCGTAGATGATAATTATGATAGGGGGCCCATAAAACAGGAAAAAACACACACACACACAAATTGATTTAAATGTTGACTCCTTTATACGCGGTGGCCGGTGGGGATTCCCTACAAACATGGGATGATGGGAATACATCAGCACATTGGAAACATTGTCCCACAATGGGAGATATTCTTAATGCACGGCTGGATGCTACATGGAGAGAGTTTTTACTTGTGCAAGATCTAGACTCATTTTTAGAGTCAATCGTGATAGACCACGTCATATTCGTACACAAGGCTCCACAAGTCAATCTGATATGGTCTACCATGATTGGTCCAGTATCCTCCCATGCGTTCATGGTGGGCTAACTTGAGCAAGGGACAAAACTGGGCCCCCATGTCACGATCAACTTATTATTTTTTGTGGGGTGCATGTGTCTGGAGCTACTTGCGGGCTTGGGCCATTATTTATCACATGTTCAAATATTTAAAGTGGACCGTATCCACCTTTGGATGAAAGAATGAAACCCACACGGCACACGCTAATAATCATGTACATTTGGTGGAGTTGGGTTCAATTGTCTTAAGCTAGCTTGCTTGGTGGTATCCCTTGTTGCAGAAAACCAGTGAAAAATTAAGCAGAGGTTCATCTCATAGGTCCGAATGTAACAACCATGGCTTATCTATTGATGGATGGGAAGAGAGGGAACTGATCAGCCGAGACGGTCTGGCAAAGCTCAAAGCCAGTGTCTTCTTTGCTTCCATCGACCAACGAAGTGAGAAGGCTTCCGGAGAGAGTGCCTGCGCTGCCCTTGTTGCAGTCATTGCAGATTGGCTTCTGTCAAACAGAGGTGCCCTTCCAACAAAGGATGAATTCAACACTCTGATAACAGAAGGTTCCTCTGAGTGGCGGAATCTCTGCGAAAAAGAGGACTACATGCAACGCTTCCCTGACAAGCACTTCGATCTCGAGACTGTGCTAGAAGCAGACCTTAGGCCTCTTTCAATCATGCCAGACAGATCTTTCATAGGGTTCTTCAGTCCTGAGAAGTTTGAGTCCTTGAAGGGACATATATCCTTCGATAGTATATGGGACATGATAAGCGGTAGCATCAACGATGGTGAGCATCAGGTTTATATGGTCAGCTGGAATGATCATTTCTTCATTTTGAAGATTGAATCCAATGCCTGTTATATAATTGATACTTTGGGAGAACGACTGTTCGAGGGGTGCAGCCAGGCCTACATCTTGAAATTTGATGACGCATCCTCCATTTATGGGTTGCCGAAGGAAGACAGAAATGACAGAGACAGCAACAATGGAGAGAATACCCATGAGCTTGTTTACAGGGGTAAGGAGTGTTGTAGGGAGTTCATAAAGAGATTTCTTGCTGCTATTCCATTGAAGGAATTGGAGGTGGAAGAGAAGAAGGGCCGGTCAGTCTCAGGCTTATCCCTCTATCGACGTTTGCAGATTGAGTTCCACTTTAGCTCCACTACTTCTGCATCTTCTTCTTCTTCTTCCTCTTCGGATGAAGCAGAGGATGGATTTTTTCAATAGATTAATTGTACATCTGATTGTTTTGCGGTTCTCTAACTATTAGGATGGATTTTTCAATCTTTATATATACATAAAGTTTTGACACTATCCATTCACTGGATTAAAACTTAGCAATTGGTCTCCAATGCAACACAACAATGTACTTACTACAGTCCAGAAGTCAGAAGATGAGAAGAATCATTTTAACTTTTAACCAAAACAGCAAGAATAGAAAGTAAAGAACTTCATATTACAACGGAGGAAGAAAACCTGCAACTATCCTCTCTGTGAGATGATGATGAAAGGAACTCAAATTCCCCAATTTAGAATGCACAAAAGTTGGCCCAGCTACTGGATAGAAGGCCACACAATACAATACTTTTGGTTTAACTCCAATAATGGGGTCACTGTAAATCTGATCATGGAATTGAAATTTCAAAATCTAAATGAGGGAATTACCCTGCTCTCTCCGCTTCCTATAGTAACTGTAAAGCTTAGTTTATGGCCATTGACCAACTAAATGAGGTCCAATGAAATCGTTTGTCTCTTTTTAAGCCTATTCGTTCTTGGAATGCCGCTGACAAGTTTTTCTGGTAAGAAATCTGAAACCCATCAAAGAGGCCCAATGACCGCTCGATCCGGTGGCACCCACCAAGTAAAAGCTGCCTACCCTCACTGCCCTTCTGGAACCGGTTGCTGTCAGCACCTGAATCCCTGAATCATCCATAGCCCTAAAAATGGAAACGATCGGTTCAGATCAGAATTGCTTTTCCTCTTATGTTGAATTTGGCTTTACGGTGGTAGAATTCAATTTTTATTTTCCTTTCTGAAAATACCTTAATCTGACCATATAAACACTTCTTGGCTTAATCAATCAATTGCTTCCAAAAGTTAAAGTGAAGGTAAAACAGATGATTCCAGAACACCCCATCAACCCCCTTAAATCGAAGATAATGATGAACTACTGCTACAGTACCCACTTACCATCAGTTCCAGCTTAGAGAGGAAACGCGACCGATTCTCATTTAGTCATTTTGCCGAGCAGATGATAAATGGATAGATGGACCACTTGGAGCGGGACGAGGAGCACCGACAAAAGCGAGACGGACGGACAGATAAATAAAGATGACAGTCGACGACCGCTATTTATTGAGGAAGGCAGCCAGAGGCAGAGTCTCTGACTCAGACAGAGAACCAACTCCTAGAGGCAAGTTTTACCGAATGACGTCACTCGTGGTTGGTGGGGAGCTAATCCGGACACGAAACCGTTATTCCAATCCAGTTAAATGAGTCGGTTGAGGAACGTGATCTAAACCGTTCCCATAATGGGCCATGTGTCTCTTTGGTAATACCGTTGCGTTGCGAGTTGCGACTCTCAACTAACAAAGAGGTCAGAAAATAGGAACGAGAGAGAGAGAGAGAGAGAAAGAGAGATCCGGGAGGGAAAGAGCGAAGAAGAACAAATTAGCTTTCGACGCAACGACGTGTCTCTCTGACGCTCTGAGTAAGTACTTGTCATATCTTCTCTTACGGAAGTAGGAACAGAAGGAAGAGAGATTAGAGATTAGATTTTACAGAGAAAGTGCAGAGTTTGTATGTGTTTATGAGGAGCAAGGGAGCTTTTCCTTTTGTTGTGACTTGCACTCCCTTACTCTTTACTCTTTGTGTTCTCGGGTTAAATTCTTGTTCTTAGCTGGAAATGGCGAGCTCGGTAGTGGAGAAGGAAACACAAACGCCAGGGAAGGAGGAAGTAGTATCCGTCGAACTCACGGCACCTACTGGCTGGAAGAAAAAGGTTTAGTGCTTTTCTCCCTGCTATTATTAGATTCTTCGGCTTCAGTTTTAGTTCAATTACTTTGTGTTTCTGTTGTAATTTTTTTTCTTCTCTTATGTAAAATCATTTCTGGTTTTGTTGAATTGCTTAATTTGTTTGTTGTTTTGGTGGAAATTGGGCTAAGTAGTTGTAAGTTACCAGCTAGGGCATATTGAAGGATACTTCTGATGTTCGGTATATTTTATTTCTTTTAGAAATTAATTATATTATAGTGTTCAAATTTTATGTTCTGAAAATTTCTGGTTTTATTATTGTTCTGTTTGTTGATTATATTGTTTCAGTTGCTGGAAGGGTTATATGTTTTCTGTTAGGGTTTGTACATTTCTCTTACCTTTATGGAGGTAAAAGTTCATCCTATGCAAAAATTTATTGTCTTCTTGCTTCCAGTTAATAATCTTCTCTCGTTTCTTCTGGCTGCTCTTATTGATTTGAGAAAAAGAGGTTCTGTATGAAATGTGGAATTCGGTGGAGAACTGGGGAGATTGTAGTCTCTGTGGTAACCTCGGGGTAAAGTTTACCATGTTGGAGGGAAGTAGTAGTATACATGGGTTTCTTCTCTGTGGTAGTCTCTGTTTGCTTGATTTTCTGCTTCTCCCACGGTTCCACCTTTCTGGATAAAGGGGGGACCACATTCTTTTCTATAGTTGCAAGAATTTATTCATTTCCTTTTGATCTTTGCCACTTTCTCTATGGTCTGAATGAAGAATTCTATGCTTTACCTTTGACATCTGCTACTTACTTTCTGGTCTTGGAGTTCTGCTGTTGCATTATTATGTGATTTTCATACCTTTTTCTCTTTATATTATATGTAGTTAGGGCTAAAGTTAGTTTAGCTTCTTTTTGTCTTGTATGAGGAGAAGTTCTCTTGAAATTTAAAGCTGATATAGTTAAAAGAAAATACATGTTAGCTTGGTTACTGTGCATTGATATATGAAAATCCACTGAATCATTAATGCAAAAATGCAGTTTTATTAAGATCATTTATTCTGATGGTTTTTTAGGACCATATGAATGTGATTGTGTGGATGCATTTTCTTCTTTTCTTTCTTCCTTCTTGAGTTTGCATCAGATTTTCTTCTACCATCATATGCTCATACATGCATAGAGACCCAAATAACCACAAACAAGGGTAATTCCTACTTCAGTTGCTAGACAGGCAACATCATAATTCATGCATTTTGTTTTTATGAAATTATTAAGACATGTGTAAAGACCATCAACTGCACCTGTGAAAAGAAGTTAATTGTTATGAGTTGAAGGGTCTTTAAGAACCATGGGCAGGCCAGAAAGGACATGAATAAGTTGGGATTGGGACAAGGCTTAGTTAGGTTATATACATATAATTTATTAAGAGGCCGTTGCTTGACATGATGGTTAATCTTGGGATGAGAAGCATGAGATTACTGGTTTGAATCTGAGAGTGGACACTTAATGTAAAAAATGCCAGAGGTTAGGGTCCATATGCGGTCTACTCCCCCTCCAAGACCCTGGATAACCAGACCAGCACTGACAATGGCCTTTTATACAATTAATTTATTTATATGGCAATTTTAAATGATTTAATTTGTTGCCAATTGTCTTTTTTAATGATTTTAAGCCAGGGGGCTTCTAATGTGGAATCCATATGTGTGCACGTTTTGTCTCTTAATGGACCGAAGTTGAAACTGGGATTAAGCCCATCCCAAGGCTAATAGTATTTTAGTTAACCAAATCTCAACTCACTGACTTAGGACCATCATGAGCCTGAACCAAATGTCAGCCAAGTTATTGTTTCTACAATTTTGTGAACCCAAGCTGTGCTACATAAAATTTGGCACAACTTCAGTCATTCACAACCTTAGTTGTGTGTGTGTGTGTTCACGTGCAGAAAAAAGGAATATTTATAAGTTTTCTTTTTTTTTTTTTTTTTTTTTTTGTAAAGGAAGGAATTTTATAAGTTAAAGAATTTTTTGGACTTTTATATCACTCTATTGGAGGTTGATATTTTGATTTATCAATGCTTTTGTTATTAATAACTCTTAGATAAAAATTGCAAGATATATTTTTATTGGCATTTGCTAGTTGCCATGTTCTTAAGTTTCAATATTATGTGGAAATTTCCAGGGTCTTTGGACAGGGGGTAGGTATTGTTAAGCTTGTTCATTTATGTGTTTTGCCATTTACTTGGGATTAGGGGATTTGGAAGGAGTGATGACAGAAAGAAGACAGGAGGTTAATATTGTTGCTGAGTAGTGTTATAAGCTACCTTCAAAGGACAACTTGGGATTAGGGGTTTTGCCATTTGCTTGTTCTCTTTGCTTGGTCTGCCTACTTAAATAAGATCTTCACTAAGGACAACTTGTTAAATAGAAGAATGGGGATTGATTCACTAGATTGTGTCCTGTGCAATAGGGTGGAAGAATCTGTACATCACTTATTATTGCATTGCAGCTTCACTTATAACATCTGGGTGAAAGTGTTCAAGATTTTTGCTCTCTATTGATTCTTTCCAGCATCTGTAGAAGATTTCATGAAAGGGTGGTGGATCCAGGGCCTGAGCAAGAAAGGGCCTTGGTGCATCATGGGAGTGTTACAGGAGGTGTTAAAACAGTGTCTGAGTGTCTGCATGAGTTAAATCCATTAGTGCATCCTGGTAATTCTGTACACTAGACTACTTGCCCATTTATCAACCTTCCAAGAAAACTTAAGATATCAAACATCATATGTCCCAAGAGATTTAACCTCTGTCGAAGGATCTTAGTTACAATGATTTTGTTGTAAATGTTTGGAGATAAAATTTTCCAAAGCAGTCCTGGACATCTGATTTATGTTGTGAATACATTATGAGAACGATCTGTTGATCAACAAAGAAAATTATATTATAAGAACAAAATATGGTGGAAAACAGCTGTCAAATAATAGTTGGATGTTTTCAGTTTTCCATTCCTCTTCCCTTATCTAATAACTACTGAAAGGGTAGAAATTAGAGTGCTGATAAAGGTGGCTATCTGGTTGACATGTTTGACACATTCCAGTGCATCCAGTACAGGTTTCCTTTCCCAAAGTTGCATTCATGTTATATGCTTGGACCCTCTCCTCTTGGTCCGGGGGGGGGGGGNGGGGCTCAGGAGGAAAGGAAGATTTTTATGGCTATCCTCTCCTCTTGTTTGCTGGGTTTTATGGGGGAAGGAACAACCAAATTTTCAGAGGGTTCTGTTTCCCTGGTAGAGGGTGTGATCGGTAGAGCTGTGAGGTTATTGTTCAAATGGGTGAAATGGGTGGTTGCAGAAAGGGATTTCAGAGGTATTGATCATGACTAATCTTTCTTATTTGGTTCTATTGATGTAAATCATTGTGGTTGCTCTTGGGGGCTGCTCTTGGAAATCATTGTGGTTCCTCCTTTTGGCAATACAATACTGACCTTTCAAAAAAGAGTTATATGCTTGGGATCGTATTTCTAGTTAAAAGTACTTAACAACAAAGTCAGACTTGGAACTACTTGCAATTCATATTTAAATTATTTTTCCTTTATATGGTCATTCATTTACTAATTCCTTCTGATAATTTCATACGCCTGTCTTTTTTCCCTTTTATTCTATGCAGTTCATACCCAAAAAAGGAGGGACACCTAAGAAGAATGAAATCATATTCATTGCTCCTACTGGGGAGGAGATCAATAACAAAAGGCAGTTGGAACAATATCTCAAGTCACATCCTGGTGGACCTGCAGTATCAGAGTTTGATTGGGGCACTGGTGAGACACCGAGGAGATCAGCAAGGATCAGTGAGAAGGCAAAGGCAGCTCCACCACCAGAACCTGAACCTCCAAAGAAGAGAAGCAGGAAATCATCGGGTTCAAAGAAAGACAGTAATGAAACAGAAGTCTCCCCTGAAGGATCTGAAAAGAAAAATGAAGTTCAGATGCAAGAAGCAGAGGCTGACAAGAAAAATATTGGAGAAATAAAGATGGAGAAAGCTGTTACTGCAGAAAATGAAGGTATGAATGAAGACAAAAAGCAGGATGATTCTGGAGAGGCATCTGTGGACAAATCTGATGTTGGAAAGGATATTAAAGGTGATGAATTAACCAAGAACGATAGCACAGAAACTGAAGCTGCTGACGCTGAGAAAGCTCAGGTCCCAGAAAAGGGAGAGCCATTGCAGACAGAAGCAGATAAAAAAGATTGCCTAAATCATGCTGAACAAGAGAAACCAGAGACAGCTGTTGCCAATGAAGTGAAGCATGAAGAGGTGGGTGAGAAAATGAAGCACAACAAAAGTCCACCTGAACCCATTGGGGAAATCAAGGAAAACCAATCAGGACCTGCAAACGAGGATCAATATGGTTTGCACGTTGAAGAGAAAGGTAAAAAGACGGAGGGGCCCGTGATAGAGAATTGCAGCCAGAACGGAGAAGCTGGGGAGACCAAGACGCAGGAGGTCAACCAAATTGGACGAGTCGGTTCACAACAACCTCCTCCTGCACCTGCTCCAGTGAGCTGTTGAATGTAATGTCCTCTTTACCTTATCTTTTACACTTCCCATGGCTTACTCCATCTCTTGTGTTCTTTGGATGACTGTAATCTCAAATGTTGATGTCAGATAAGATTTTTACCTGTATCATGGTAGAACGGGCCTCTAATGCTGCAGCTTTTTGTTGCATAGGGGAGGATTTAGATTGAACCTTGTAGCTATTGCCTGAAATTGTGATCTCCAACACTAGCTAATATGTTATGTAATCTGCTACTGATCTCTAATCTTACTGTTTTTGAACCATTTGCATGGCCCATATGGTTTGACAGATTTCCTTAAAAAGGCAAGAGCTCGTTTAAGTACTTGAGTTGACTGTTCTGCCGAGAAGTGCATTATGGCAGGGCATAGGGATGATCTGGACAATGGCCGGTTCAGTCCGCTCTATGCAAGTCTTCGATGTATACGAAAATTTCGATGGATGCCCTCCTGCTCTCCCGACGACGTTCTGTGATGGAAAGGGAGGAAAATACTAATCTTCGCTTGGACCATCTTTTACTTTGAAAACTAAAATCTAGAGGACCTAAGTTCACCTAGTAAGGTTATATCTCGAACCAGCAATCTCTTTGATGTGACCGTGCAAACCTCTATGTGCTTCAGGAGATGGTTTTGAATAAATAGGGCAACATACTGTTCAGAAAACGGCAAATTTGATGTTGGGGTTTTCTTAATTGAATACTTCAATCAAAGCCATTCTGAATCTTTTTGGTCTAACACAAGTGGAAATGATATGCTCTTCCATGAATGAGATACATGGTTTGCACTTCAGACTGTGCCCATCATATTTAAAAAGCTCACCGGATTAAATATACTACCCAGACGATCCAAGAAATAGCCAACCAATTGCATAATATATATGTCAACAGAGTGGTTCATCCTTCATTATAAGAGGCTATTAGCTGAACAAGCTATGACACCACCAAGAGAATCTCTTATAATTCATGTGGATGCCGAGAGTAATAATAAAAAGACGAACAATATTAACATCACGAAGAGTGTAAGTTGTTATCTTTCTGTAAAATAATGTGGGAAACCACATTACAGCAGTGGCTGCAGCATCAAGTATTCATCAACATACAAATGAACAGAGAATCAGAAATATGTTAATTTTGGCTTTACCTCTAGGATTCAACGCCTCATAATATTAGTGTCATAGTTTCATTTATAGGGAGATATTTTCACCCTCATCCCATATTCAAGGTTTCCCACCTGTACAGTGATTAAATTACTCAATTGGTGGTTTCCTCCTTCATGGATAATATTTAAAATGTGTCCAATTAGATAGTTTTGACTGGTTTAGAAAGTTTCTCCAGTGGTCCACCATTCAAACCATAATCTTAAGCCAGTTATCCCACCAATGCATGGCTCAGTCACAGAACACTCCACAGTTATAGACACAGAAGATGTGTCCTGTTAAAATGATCTACAATTTGGATCCACAAACACATAATATCGTGAAAACTGAATTCATTAGATATGAGCCAACAATTCCATCTCCCATTTCCAAACTAAATGAAGCTTTAGATGGGCAACCCCTTTTGGGTTGACATTCAACTCCCAAGTGTGGTTATGATTCAACCTTCTCAGACCCTCTTGTGAATGAAAGTATAAGAAATCACACTATCAATAAGAATTTAAAATTAACATAGTAACTTCAACTGAAGGTAAGCCTTGGCACAATGGTTGGGTTACTCCATTGGGACCTGGCTGACCAGGGTTCAAATCTTGGAAACAGCCCTGTATGTGCAGGGGTAAGGCTGTATACATCTATCCCTCCCCAGGCCTCTCATTGGCGGGAACCTAGTGCACTGGGTTGCCCTTTAACATAGGAGTGAAAGTAAAAAATTATGCAACTAACATGGAGATGAAGTCCACTAAAGAATCTGACTGTACCACATTTAATTTCAACTCTATTGACAAAAAACTTAATTGATTAGACCGAACCAGAAAAGGGGGCACATTGTTATGGGCAGTAAGAAAATACACATTTTTACTGACCACCCAAAGGAAAACAAATCTATTGGATGGTTAATTTGTCAGTTTGTCAGACCATGCCATTAAATGACTCAATTCGAAAATGCATCAACTTGTGTGTATAATGAAGGGCATATAACTATAATTCCTCTTTGGACAGCTTACATATTTCTATATAGAAGAACATAAGAATCAATTATACAGAAGTAACCTTAGTATGAAGCAGATGTATAGACAAGCTGATTCATGGATTTCAAACGACTATTTTCTGTCAAATGAGAGCAATATGTTTCTCAAAGGTGTCAACCATGGAACTCATTCCGTACAAGGCTAAAATTCTGTAAGTTGATTTAGCTATGCATTTGGTACCATCATAACAAAGATTGGTCTCTTCCCTTTCAGGTCTGATACAGATAAAAGTTTGCTTTGGAGAAGTCTCCTTGATGCCATCAGAGGAGCACACTAGCCCAGACCACATCATGCCTTGTTCTTTAACATTGCATGTTCGTCTATGTCAAACATTTGAAGGCTGGAACATCTTTAACTCATTGCTTACCACCCAAAAGGGGTAAAACAATCCCAAACTTATGGTTATAGAAAATCAATGAATCTTTATCTAGCTGCTGTATTACAAGTTCTTGAATTCACGGTGCAGATGAGAGCAGTTTTCAGGTACAAAGCTCATCAAATAATAAATGTCTCCATTCCATTCAGAAGAAATCTCAAAAGACCTTCAAATGCATAAGCAAAGGGGTGAATAAGTTTGTCAAAAGGACCCGGTAAAAAGGAATCCAACCAACATTGTTGTAACAGCACATTGTTGTTTTATTTCCACAAAGTAATAACCAAAAATGATTGATTCTAGAAAGCTATAACAAAAGCATGAGCAAATTAAGAAAGCAACCAAAGCTCATATCAGAAGACTCACATTTGCCAATCCTCAAAATCTAAATCATCCATGGCTGGCTAGTTCTAACTTCTAAATAAAGAAACAAATAGCTTGAGAGAAAAAAGAGTGATGACTCTTTACAAAAAAGAAAAAGAAAAAGCAAAAGACCTCCAAATGAGGAAAGGTATGAGTTGAAACCAAAATCCTGCTTTGCTTCATAGGCCCTTAAGCTGCTCAACCAGCCCAGCCAATGCAGTCCATTTCTCCAATGCACTGGCAGAAGTCACAAAAGCTTTCTTGGAGGATTCTATGTTATTCTGACTGACTGCAACAGAAGACAATGTAGCAAGAATTTTATTAATGGTAATTTTAATGCTTTGATTACAAAGTTACCATTAAAAAATATACACCCACCTGATGAAATCAAGGAAGCTAATGAGGAATTGAATGTATCAACCTCAGTCTTCTCTTCAGGACTGGAACTCAGCTGTCAAAAGTGCATACAAGAGAAACAACAATGAGAAACAAAATAATCTGAGGCCGACAAAATCCAAACAAAACTCATTAACAGTATTAGTACTGAAAGTGGAATGACCTTGGTAAAAGCTACATTGACTTTTTTAACCCAATCTGAATCCGTGCTTGAACCAAGAACTGAACTTGCTGTGGGTAGATCATTATTTTCTATGGCTTGGCCCACTTTGCTCAGCTTGTACACGAGATCTTGCAGAGATGCTGTGATTTATAGTTTTATTACCAAGGGAATAGAATAAATCAGCCACAGAGGAAGTAACCCACTTTTCTTAAATAAGAATAAGAAAAATGCAATTGCCAAAAGTTTGAGTAATATTGAAAAATTCAAATGTATGAGAGAAACTTTTTTACTTGTACATGGAATACACTTTTAGTTCTTTTGCATGGTAACAAATAGTATTATAGTAACTATTCTTAAGTTCTGTTTTTTCAGTATTTAGTGGATTAACTGATATAGAATTCATAGCATGTGATTATATATTAGAATGAACCTTTAAAGTAATATGTATATAGATAAAATATGAAGCATGGAATAAATGAAAGATAAAAGTACAAATTATTTATGATATACTGAGAAAAAATATGGTTTTGATCTACTTTCCATATCTAAGTAATATTAGATGTTCGTATCATACTCAACAGTAGGAGATTCATTTTAGTTATAGATTTATAGGTAATCAGTATTGAACTTCAGATAAACATCGACTTATTACCAAAAAAAAAAAACACCTGAGGCTGATGGTTGAAAACAAAATAACATTCAACCGCACTACAGTTCATGTTCAGTTTGAGCCAGGGACACAAACTCTGACTAGGTGATGGTACAGCACTTCATTGCCATTGAATGAAACATCAAAATACCAAAAGAAAACTCGAGGTACAGGTTCAACCCAATGACCCAGTAAATTAATGCCTCACACGGATCAACAAACTAGAACCAATGCCTCATGCTTAGATTGATTTCTTCGCAAGGATAGAAACAAAGACCACTTATACCAATCCCTACCCTATTTGCGACAGACATACATACCAAAAGAAAGAATGAGAAAGGACTCCCCTGTTAGCTAAACTATTGGCTTCTAGCCTTCTACAGGTAGTCAATTATTCTCCATGTAATACCACGCCTCTCATTGACCACACAATGAAGCTGATAAGGTTTCTAGTCTCTACACCAAGGCTAAATTCCGGGACTCGAGCTGTATGACACCAATTTTTAATCGTTTGACCAATTCCACCTTCACAAGAGAGGATATAATTATGGTTTTGGGTTTTTCAGTCATTTATTTCTAGGAATTACCATTAATCATTGGGTGCTCCACTTCATCAATTTAGACCACAAGAGAAAATCATGAGAATCCAAGAAGGATTTAGGCTAGCCTGATATCAAGTATCATGAGTTCTTTAACTACATAATATTTACTTCGCCAATTGTGATGAATAGCATGTCTGGGCATGGAAGGCATTACCATTTTGCTTAATTGAATACATCAGATTGATCAAATTGAAGCTAACAAGAAATGGCAACGATAAATTGAACAAGAAAAGAAAAGCCACAAGGTCCACAACACACGGGCGCACTAAAAAATTTGGATTTTTTGGGTTTTATGCAGAAAACACAGAGGGAAGAGCCGGACCTTTCTCTTTGTCGAATGAATTAATAACGCCTTGCCTCTCGAGCCTCTTCTTTCTGTCCCTCTTAACCCTCTCCAATAGCTCCTCATCATCGTCAGCCTCTAGGACAGCAGCATAGGCATTAGAGAAGCAGTCCTTACCAGATAATGAGAGAGTCAAGGTGGTGGTCAGGTAGATAGCGAGACTTCGTCTGGTCAGAATTGGACAAGGACGTTGAGATTCAGATCCTGTCTTGCAGAATGCCACAGTGAGAGAGTTGGGTTTCTTGGGGTTGTACTTGTGAGAACAAACACAAATGGATGGCGTTAACGACGACGAAGAAGAAGAAGAAGAATAAGATCGAAGGGAAGGACCGAAGGTATTCGCAGAGAGGAACGTAGTTGCCATTTTTTCCCTATTTTTGGTCCTTGTCCTTCCCCACCTTTGCCCTTTGGTGGGAAAAGAGAAGCGCGAGGTTGTGGCAGTTGGAGGATAAGATTGCTGGTGCTGGATTCAGAGTTCAGACGACCTGATCCAGTCATTTTTCAAATGCTTAGGGCTATTTTAGCCCTTTAAAATAAACGAATAATATAAGGATTAATGACTGCAGTCCGGTTGGATCGGGTATATCAAGATCCGAATTTGATTAATATACGTATAGAATCGAGTCTTATCCATCGTATTAAGATTCTACTCCATTATGATTCATAATATTGAATATTGTTAAAATTTTTATTAAAATAAAATGAGGTAAATAAAATAATGATCATTTTAGTCATAAAAATTTATTATTTAAAAGGCCATTTTTTTCATATCCAAGTGTTAACTTTTTCTCATGTGAAAATTATTTATTCACGTGAAAGATGAGATGGGTATTGGAAAAATAAATCTTCCCCAATCTTATATAAATCCAAAAAAAAAAAAAATCATTAATTTCTTGGTCAATGGGAACCAAAACCCCATTGACCAATTTTTTCCATTCTCAAAATCCCAACAACTAGTGCTCCCTTAATTGTTAAGATCAATGTTTGGAGAATTAGATGGCATAGAATCCGAAAAGGAGAGATTCATGAAGCAAGGGCATAATTGAGGTCAAACCAAAGGTTGAATCATGATGATATGGCATATAGGTATATACTATAGGTCATATAAATACTATATATAATATGATTTACAAATTTTGTCATATTTAAATATGTTGCATGGTAAGATTAATAAGTTTTAAGGCAGTGTTTAGAACCGATGTCGTTGCTCTAGAAAACGGTGATACATCAGTGCCATGTTGGAAAAATTGGTGCTTCAGGAAATGTCAATATGTTTAAAATCGTTTTTCCATAAAAAACAGTAAGGCGTGGTTTGGAGCAACGCTGAATTCGACGTTTTCTCAAATTGGAGCTCGTTGCTATCAACGAGGATATGATGTGGGAGTAACATGGACTTCATATAATGGGTATCAGTGCTGAAAACATATATGGAGCATTGGCACCAACAGAAGTTGTTGCTGTTGCTCCAAAAAACGTCTATTTCCAAATAAAAAAATAATAATTTTCTCAAAAAACGGTGCTTCCAATCCACACATATACAGCACCATTCTACAACATTGGTGCCAAACATATACTAAACCAAATGATCAAATGTTAAAACCTCTTAATTAGCATTTTCTTTAAATTTTGTATTAATTAAAGAAATGGATTAATGATAGTTAAGTAAAACAAGTAAATAAAAAGTCATTTTGAAATTCACTGATTTTCAGGTTAAACTGGCCAGACAACTGGTTTTAATAATTCTTTTAAGAATTCGTGCTCTTGGGGTGTGACCTGGCCAGAGCCTCAGGCCATGCTTCAACCGGTAAAGTCTAGTTTCATTAAATACTGGTTAAGTGAAAAACCTCAATGCAATATAAGGACAAGCTCGCCCAGTATATCCTTTATTTGATTTTTTTTGGTAGAAACTAGGAAGAGAATACATATTAAAACAAGTAGTAGCATAACAAAACAACACAAATTAAGGTCTAATTAAGTCTTGGTTGGCCATATCTTGGACTCACCCAAGTGGATCATGGACAAATAATCCAAACTTTTTTAGACATTTTCTAGCTAGCATATGTGCAACAATATTATATGATCTATTTACGTGATTAAAAGAAATAGATAAGGTTTTAGTAAGTAATTTGATATTCATGCACAAAAAGTTTGCATCCAAAGCTATATCAAAGTTTCCCATCTTCAATGCCTGCACCAGAGTTTGGCAATCAGATTCCACTGATATATCTTCATCCTTGTACATAATCAAAACTTCTAAACTGTTGAGGATTGCCATCATTTTATCTTGGATGGGAGATGAAGCTGTTGATTTGCCAAAAACTACTGCTATCACTGTTCCATCAGCATTCCTTAATATTGCACCAAAACCTGAATTCTCAGGACAGAAAAAGCTCCCATCTACATTCATCATAAGTTCCGCTGATTCTAGTGCGTCCCAAAAAGTAATATGTTGATTTCTAAGGCTTGAATGTTGAAAAGAAGAATCTCACAATTCTGTTTGGGAAATCATCACTCTCTCTCTCTCTCTCTCTTTCTACATCCTAGAAGATACAACAAGGGTGACTCTACGTAATGGATCTATATTTTCAAAAATTTTGCAGTTCCTAACTCAAAGTATCAATATGAATCATGACATCTCTAAGAGGGGTATTAACCCTCTAAGAGTGGCTACTAGCTAGATGTCCTGATTGGCTAATTACTTATATATAGCATATTGAAGATCAAAATATATAAATATAATATGATATATTCGATACATGGTGTATTGTATTGATACTTTTAACCTTGTCTAAACACTATGAATCTTCCAATGCTCTCTCTTTCTCTCTAAATTTGTTAAAAAACTAGTCCATATGTCAACCTTTGCTCCCTTTCAAAATTTGCTGTAAAATCTCCATTAGAAATTACTTTCATTTTTAATATTTTATTTTTTAAATCCAAGTAATTGGGCATGTTGAACCAATCACCCTTTCCCACCCGCAACAAATAGGCTCAAAGTGGAATTACAATCAATCACAATTCTAAATCGTGACATAGTAAGAAATATCCAAAATAGGACACTTTCTTTCCTAATCCATAGCATGGATCTTTTTTTTTTTCCTTCTAGCCAAATTGAGTTTAACATCAAAATAGAAGGGACCAAAACTTGATCATGGAGATTCAGAGTTTGACTCAGAGTTGGCCCGCATCATTGATACTGAGAGCTAGGTTGATGTCAAAATAGGGGCAGAGCATGATGGTGCTCCAACCAAGAAGTCTACCGAAGCAGACAAAAGAGTCGATCAATTTCAATTCCTTAACACTGAAAACAGGTTTTTTCCTGTTTTTTACTCTTCTATCCATCAGTTTTTTGTATTTGGGGGAAAACATTGTGTAAAGACCTCAAAGAATGGATATAAGCCCATAAAGTCTTTTTGCATTCATTGCCCAGGGAGTGAGGAGATAGCCTTTGTGCTCCCCAGTTCATATCCACGATCCATTAATATAAGGAGCTTCTGTCAATGACCATGTAGCCTTAGGGGTCAATTGGCATCTCATCAGGAAGCTATGTTCAAATCAAACCCGTAGCAAGGGAAGCTCTCCACAATGAGTCCCAATCTGCTGTGCATACTACAGCCACACATTGGGAATATCGTCATATCTCCTATACTTGTTCATAGCATACATACAGCATTTTGCCTGAGACAACTTAATCTGTGCTTCTCTATGAACTATCATAGGAAACGCTATAGAACATCTTTTCGTGAATAATAAATAAAAATATGAAACCGATACAAGTTGCGATAAGGTCAGTGTGAGCTATATTCTGTGGTGGGGAGTAAATCCGAATTCATCCTAAAGGGTATTTGACAATATGGTTGGTTTTATTTTAAAAAAAAAAATAATAATAATTACTACATTAGAAAAAAAAAAATCCAATATAACTTTACTGATGTAACAATTGTTTTTATTTAAAAAAAAACAACTATATTGCCGAATGCCCCCTAAATTTTGCAGAAGGATGCATTGGTTGGCACAGACAACTAGTCGTGGATGCATTTTTGAGTGAACTCATCACTCATGTGTTACACATGGGGATTGGGGGAACCCTGTTGACAGTTTAGGCTATCAAAAGAATAGACTAGTGTGATTACTCTTTTGCCCCGCACCCATTGTAACGTGTCATGCCGTTACCATATGATGGACAGCCAAAGGTTTTCTACTTTTCTTAACCGGGTTTAGCATATGGCACCTTGGGAAAACTTTGGCTGCTTGGGAGCTTCTTCCACATGACACATCAACCTACTCAGTCTCTTCTGTTTTTCAGTCAAAAGAATATTAAAGATAATTACTCTTTTGCCCCACACATATGGTAACGTGTCATATACAAGAAGCTTTGAAACAGCTTGGGCCACATTTTTTCCCTATCAACTTTAATTTCAAGTTCAACATATATATATGGTTGAAGAGGGAAAAAGGCAGAAAGGATGGATAGCATTGGTTGACAGTTGACACTGAACAGGAAAAAGGCTTACGAGGCCCCTTCAAAATGACTGAACTGAATATAATTGATTGTCAGTTTGTCTTCATGAATAAGCAAGCAGAATGCTAGTTCTTTAATTGGTGAAACTGCCTTTCAGAGTAACTACTTTACCCTTAAATATTTCACTATACACCTATTTTGTCCACTAAAAAACAGACTGATGTGATCAAGCAATTCAATTCATCCAATTCAGCAGTTGCTTTTATTTTCAAAAGCAAAATTGTACCTATTGGTGAATAACCCCCTTAGGCTCAGTTTGGAAAGAGTATACATCCAAATATAAAGTTTTACACTCTACATATTTATGTTTGTACTCTTTCCAAACTAGGCCTTAGTACATTTTTCATTTTTTTTTTTTTTGATGAAAATATTACAAACCATGCATTTCTCTTATCTTGGCTTCCATTGCCTCCTTTTCAGGGAAAATGTTTTCTATCAATTTTTGGGTAGACATTGTCTTTCTACAAGGAGGCATAACCTTAATCTAATCAACAAATGTTGTCCTACCAAAGGAAAAGTGAACAAGTGTTCAATTGAAAACAACATAATTCGCCTTTATGTGTTCTTTACTAAGTATATACAAAGGTTTGCTTTGTAGGTGATGATGACAAAAGGAAGAAGGCCCAATCACTAGGCTAAGGAATGACTAGAAATGAACCTATATCCTTTCTTTGCTGAGTGGGGCTTGCCATTCAGGATTCACATAAAAAAAAACTTACACACTAAGGGAGCCTGGTGTGAGGTGTGAGCTTATAACTTGCACATTAAGACTTAACAGTGATGGTGTGGCCAAACTAGTGGAGGCCTCTCAGACTTCCACTCAAACTTAGTATTAGATTCTTTGGCCCATCCCAGATACTTTCTGCTTCCAGCAAACTCTAACCAAAGTAAAAAAAAAAAGAGTAAAAACTAAAGAAATTTGTAGCTGGCTTGAACTGACTGGCACTTAGCCATGCAAGAAGTTGTTATACCTTAAACAATTTGACCAGCAAAAGATGTATGTAATGGTAGATTTCTTTAATTGGATTCTAACTTGTTTGTATCAATCTATAGTAGAAATAATGCTAAATTTCACTTGTCCCCCCCTGAGCTTTGTCTATTAATTATCAAAAGTTCTCCCATGTACTTTGACTAAAAAACATTGAGAAACACCATCCAATATCAAGTTGGAAATCCTAATAACAAGGGAAGTATATATATCCCACCACTTAACAGAAACTATGGCTTAGAGTAATGCTTCCATCTCATCTCACATAGAGAGAAAAGATTAATGAAGATAATTAATAAACCCAAATTAAACACAACTAAATGTATGAATATTGGTAATTTAATTAATACTTTTCTATCTATTAGTATTTAGGAAATAAAGCATTTTCATATTTTTATTCAAAATTTTAAAATTCACATTGTTTATGCATTATATATTTTTATGAAAAATCCCATATTTTTCAGAAATATGCAGTAAATATGCGTAGATACCTCTCTCTCTGGAGCTCAGCAGCATTATCAAATAAAGGATGCCGATTTCGGAGCTGGATCTACTATGCATAATATAGTAAGTATGTTTAATGAGTACTTAATAAATATTTTGATAATTGTCAAAAGTGATTTTTAATTTTTCTTATTTTAAAGGAAAGATAGTATCAAAAAATTTTCTAAATACTCATTAAACGTACTTACAAATTTATACCTACCTGATCCGGACTCGCCAGTTTCACCAGATGGGAACTGGTAGTCGTACTCCGTGAGCACACTGAACAAACACAATCACTTTGCTGATACTTGTCTCTCAAATCTATCCAAAGTAGACTCATTGGTGTGCTGTGTTCTTGTTCATGTGCATGGATCTCAAGGCACTTTTGACCATATTCATCCAAAGTAATATGCTTTATAAATTGATCCTTAAATTAATATGGGTAAATTACTTATCCCTCCCCAAAGGTTTTGGTCAAATACTCATAGCACCCCCTAGGTTGACCTACCATCTTATGCCCCTTTTGACCATATTCATCCAAAAAATACTCCTTTTGCTAGTAAAAAACTGCATGGGTTTTTTTTTAATGAATTAAGACAGAAATAGGTGTTTTGTCAAAGTGCCTTTTGTATTGATTTTGCCTCTAATATATATTTAAAACTGATAAAAGTAAAGTGGTTCCATTTACAAATTAATACTAAATATTATTACTTTAACATGCCATATTCTAATTCATTTTATTTTATTTACTTTTCAACCCATTTTCAACTTTTTCATTCTTATTCTTGATGCCATGGCAGAAAAAGTTTGTTCCTTCAAGATCCAAGAAGTAGAATTAAGGGTGTTTTTATCCATATAATATACCAAAAAAAAAAGTATTGAAAAGGGTAATATGGAGTCGTGAAAAGTTTTAATTTACATGCAACCTGAGCACTTTTACTCACTAAAGTTGACTGCAAGTTTGTGGAGGGCTAGAATAATTTTAACTCTAAAGTACAGTGGGTGAGTAATACTGTGTAATACAAAAAGGAAAAAAAAAAAAAAAAGTGAAATTACAAAGGGTGAGTAAGGCCGTAAAAAGAATTAAGGTACCAATATTTTACCTTGATTAATAAAATAATTAATGGAAGCAAGCAGTGAAGTGTTTCCCTTTGAATGGCAAAGGGACAGCAAGAAATGTAGATTATTGTTTACTTTACTTTGTTTGTTCTTTCAAGTTTCAAACTGGAGCACGTGAAAGCTACAACATCATTTAAGGTTACAAGTGCAATGAAGCTTGTAAATGGTAGTGTAATTTGTATATATATGTAATGGCATTTCAATTTTGTGAACATCAACACCGACCAATTAATTATAGTTTAATGAATCTCAATCTCTCCCTCCCTTCTTTATGTTTATTAGAAAGAGAGGATTATAAGGATGCTTGGGTGTACTAATAATATACGATATATATGTCTTGGGGGTTTGCTAAGGAAAAAGAAGAAGCACACCCATCATTTAGATCTAGGTTGAAGTTGTGAGATTGGTCTTACTTTTAGAGGTCATCGACGGCAGGAAATGTGTTGAGTTATGAAGGATGGTAATAAATGTTTGCTTCTTAAAAATCAAAGTATAATTTGATACCTTACCACTTTTACATCGATGATTGGCGTATTTTTTTGCTTAAACCAACTGAATGAAAAGTCAAATTGAAATGCATTAATCCACCCATTTTGGCATTCACAGCCTTAGGCTCAAGTAGAAGAGAGTGTACATATAAGGTTTGGAAATATCATCTACAAGGTTTTACATTAAACATATTTGTATTTACACTCTTCCAAAACTGAGCCTTATGTAATGACAATTTTAAGAAGACTGGGACTCAAAAAAGGTAAAAGGTTAAATTACTAAGACCTCTTAATCAATTCCTAAAATCTTCTCATGGATTTACCTATTAACTTATCCACCCTATACCTTGGAGTTAAGTTATTTACTCCACCCCCCTTTACTATGGGTGATCATTTCTAGCCTAGACTACCAAGCGCAAGAGTACCTGTGCAAGTAAACATTAACCATATATGGTATATGGTATTTTGATTTAACTTTTATGACTTGTATGAAATTCAAGAAAATATTTGTTTTATACAGTATATAGAAATATAGATCTATATATATATATACATATAGACATATTAGTTTTATATATACAGATGTATGCTTAATTTTATATTATATGATGTATCACATATAAATTATTATATTAAATATAATATAATATATTTAGAGACATATGCCTAAAATACATCCCATCCTAGCCCATGATCATCCCTACCTAATAGAACCAAATCGATCAAATTGATTATACTAGTTTTGATTTTGTGATTTTGACCCAATTTTATGAGAATACATATATATAATATATATATATATATATATATATTTTTTTTTTTCTACCACAAATTTTGAGTTATCAATAAACATTTGGTAACATTGTTGTTTCTTTGGGAAACATCAAATTGGTGTTTCTATGTAAGTGCCAATACCCAATCAAATGTCTATATTTTTTTAGTGGAAGTGGTTATTTAGTGTGATGTGACAAGACAATTTCTCAAAAAATTGTATTAATCAATCTAAAATGTTGCAAATAGAAATGACAATGATACCAAATACAACTTAAATAATTGGATTGGGACCAATTTTTGTTGTTCCAAACCAATCATTGAATTAGTAATATATATAAAGGTTTTCTAGCTTCTTGTAATTTTTATTATATTTTATGTCTAAAATGATAAATTTAATAAATACCAAACAGACATGATATCTGAAAACTTATAAGGTATCATAAACGTGATAAGATAACCAGTCTTGTAATATTTATTAAAATTCACAAGTAGGGTTTGATTGGTTAAAGTTTCTTTTGATATCATATCTTTCCATCAGCATAGATTTTATCTTATCAATAAACTGGCATAAGGACAATACTGGTAGATGGACCGATGATGAGAATGCGATTGCTTTCTATAACTAAGGAATACTTTATAAACTTCTTTACCTCTTCTCACCCATGACTGCCAGAACTCCATTGGAAAGAAGTACAAATACAAATATATAGAGCGCAAAACCTTATATTTTGTTATTGACAAGGTGAAAACTAAATTAAGGGATGGAATTTAGTTTATTGAGATTCTGTCATTGGCTTTAGTCTATCAAGTATTTGATGCAGGATGAATTAGCGAGCTCTTCCATCGCTGATGTAGCCTTCGCAGGGATTAGTTGGCAAAGATCTTTTCCCCCTTGGCTTCTTATTTTTCTTTGGCCCTGCCTCTCCAAAGTCCAAATCAACCACTTCTCAGAAGTGGCTCGATCACGGCATTACCCCCTCCCTAGTCCCTAACCGATTTCATTAGTGCAGACTACCCTTTCTCTTTCTTATGGTTAAAATTATATCCTTGTTTATTTTTCATAAACAAACCTTTTTTTCTGCCTTGGCATCAAGAATGAGAATAACAAATTGAAAATAGATATTGACATGGTAAAATTTTATTTAATGTTTATAAATGGAAATATTTTTACCAATTTTATAGTCATTTTCCTTTGAAAATCATTTTGTATTATATTTGTGAAGTAAAATTAATACTTACTTTAATACCAAAAAAATACTTTATTAAGGGCGGCACTTTGATAAAAGTATGACACACTTTTTTTTTTCTATAAAACACTGATTTCTGTCTTAACTCCGTTAAAGGCTGGGTGGAAATAGTAATTTATCCAAATTAAAAATGCTTTTAAACTTGTACCGTCTCCAAACAGACTAACAAAAAATAAATGTACCCTTTATTTATTTTAATTTTTTTTAGTTTTTATGACAGGACAGAACTCAGAAGCAAACCTAAAAGAGGAGAGAGAGAGAGAGAGGGGAAAATGAAAAAGAAAAAAACCCAATAAATAACACCGTAGTAATGATAGGAGGGCGAGGCCGCGAGGGCAGAACAGAACCAGAAAAACAACCGCCAAAGCGAATGAGGCCGGTTTACCGGTGGCGACGACGGCCGGGGTACGGCGATGCCGCTGCTTCTTAACTTTTCAGGCGGTGCACGAAAGGCATAAGTAACTATATATCTTCACCACGGAAAGAGAAAAACTAACTACAAAGACAAGCAAAGAAAGGGATAGGGAATTAAACAAAACGGAACGAAACAAAACAAAAACAAAAGTGGAAGGAAAGAGGAAGGAAAGAAGAAAGAAAAAGGCATACTTTGAGATGGAAGGCAGGAGAGAGAGTGAGTGAATGAGTGAAAAGGGAATCGATTCGAAGCCCCCAAGAACCTCTTAAGTCATCTCTGTAGGAGGGTTTGGGGGGGGAATCTGGTCTATGGCATGCCAACAGAAGAAGCATTGCATCGAAAGAACTGGAGTTGAGGTTGTCATCGTCGCCATCGACGTTGTTGCTATTCTTGGATTTGTATTAGTTTACGCAAATCGAGACCCTTATTACTACAAGTGGAATCCCCCTTCGCTTATTCCTCCTCCAAAGCAATGGGGATTTCGCCTTTCTTCCTCTTCTTGTCTCTTCTCTTCTCACTTGTCTTCGTCTCTCCCAACGGTATGTGCTTACTTTGTTTGACCTTATTTGACTTTGTGGATTTCTCCTGTGTCCTAGACGTCTGTAAATTTTGCTTCTTTTCTTACTCTTATTTGCCTTGGACTGCTCTTTGATGTTTTCAACTATGCAGTTTGGGCTTAGGCAGATTAAGTGCATCTTGTTGCTGGATCAATATTTTTATTTTCTAGACAACAGTTAAACCTGATTTGATCAGAGTGTATTTTTATTTATTTTTTTTTTCTAATTTGGGGAAATCTTTCCTGTTTCAGTTGAAGTAAATTTTCTTTTTCTTCTGGTTTCGGTCGTATTAGTAATAACACTCAAGAATTCTACATGTTCAACATCTCATCTCATTCTTGAAACCAGTTTTGTATCTATTATATGTGTTGTTGTAAATATTCATGCACATGAGTCTACACTACAGTCGTTTTGCTTTTATGGAAAGCCGAAAATAAGATGAAGAAATATATTGCTTAATTGCATAAGACTACTGGGGTTGGGTTTCTTGATTATATAGCCCTCTCTGTCTTTACTATAAATTTAGGTGGCTTATTGTGAATCCCCTGACCTTCCTGTTGTGTCTACATCCTCTTCTGGAAGCATAGACTGTTGTTTTGTTGTTTTATCAGATGATATGAAATTTAGAATTTGGATTATCTCCATTTCATGAAGAATTCTTGTGGTTCAAAATGATACAGTGGTTAATGGAATTACTCTCTCTTTCATTTATACAGAAGTTGTAACAGTGCACGCATTTACCGGAACCTATGGAATTAATTACGGAAGGATTGCAGATAATATCCCTCCTCCTGAAAGTGTTGTAACCATTCTCAAAGCAGCAAAGGTTAAAAATGTTAAGATTTATGATGCTGATCATAGTGTCCTCAAGGCCTTCAAAGGTTCAGGACTTGAAATAGTGGTTGGACTTGGCAATGAGTACTTGAAAGACATGAGTGTAAGTGAGGATCGTGCCATGGATTGGGTGAAAGAAAATGTGGAGCCATTTCTTCCTGGGACACAAATCCGTGGAATTGCAGTGGGGAATGAGGTATTGGGTGGGAGTGATCAGGATCTCTGGGAAGCTCTATTGGGTGCAGTGAAGAATGTTTACAGTGCTATTGACAGGCTTCATTTGACCAATGTGATTCAGATAATGACTCCACATTCACAGGCTGTGTTTGCTAATTCCTATCCTCCATCAGCATGTACATTTAAGGAGAATATCCTTCCATTCATGAAACCCCTCTTGGAGTTCTTCTCGCAGATTGGTTCTCCTTTCTACATCAATGTTTACCCATTTTTGGCCTACAAGAATGATCCTGAGCATATTGATCTTAACTATGCTCTCTTTCAGCCAAATTCTGGGATTTATGACCAGAAGACTCATCTTCACTATGATAACATGTTTGATGCTCAGATTGATGCTGCATATGCGGCTTTGGAGGTGGCTGGATATGGTAAGATGGAAGTCATTGTTTCAGAAACTGGCTGGGCTTCTCATGGGGACAGTGATGAAGCTGGGGCCACAATTAAGAATGCAAGGACTTACAATTATAATCTGCGTAAACGGCTTGCCAAAAAGAAGGGAACCCCATACAGACCAAAGATGGCGGTAAAGGCATATATCTTTGCCTTGTTTAATGAGAATTTGAAAACTGGGCCAACCTCTGAGAGGAACTTTGGACTGTTCAAAGCAGATGGGAGTATTGCATATGATATTGGGTTTACAGGGCTAATACCTTCTTCTGCAGCTCCTTCTCGTCTATTTGTTAAGGTATGGGATTCTTTAATACCTCTTTTGTTTGTCTTTCTATTTAAGTTTTGCAGATATTGATGGGTTAGATTTAATTGTGTGCCGATGGAGTCTTTCATCAACATGTTTCCTTCCCCGAAGTGATAGGAATTCTTTGAAAATAAATAGAAATAAAAGAAGGCATTGCTACTGCCTGTAGTGGTAGAATGGTTAGAAGCTGGATCAGCAGAATATTAATAAAAATCTTATTTCCTACCTTCTGAATTGAGTTTCTGGACTAATGTAACAGATGTAACAAGCACAAGTCAAATTCGTTTTGCAAGCATAGTTGTTGAGGGAGAAAGGTGAACTGTAGAGCTAGGTGACAATGGAGTGTCCAGTTGCTAGGCAATGATTTTTTTCTATAAAAAGTAACATAATTTCTACGTTAAATCACTATGCAAAGCTAGCAACCAACAATGATCTAGAATGTAAATTACCAATAGCCTTCAGTAAATTACAATGAAATACATATAAAAAATAAATATACAAGATGATAGCATTTTTACTTAATCTGATTTCAATACTAAACACAAGATTGCAACCAGATTAAAAATAAGAATGTGTGGCTACTCTTTCCTCATTCTTTCTGGGAAAATGGCAGGTTTCAGTCCAATTAGCCTTTCTATGTGGCAAAAGGGAAAAACAGTTAGATATATAGGGTATATGCGATTAGAGAAAAATTGCTGAAAAATTTTGAAGAAGTTGAGGGGGTCTAGTTATTGTGTTGCAAATGCAATACTACAAAAAAATGCAAGACCTGATCCCTATTTCCTTCAAATTCAAATATGGAGGGAGAGAGAGATGGGAGGGGGGTGCGGGGAGGAGGGAGTGCAATAGAGAAAGAAAGAGAGAGGAGGGAGCCTTTTCTTGACAACTATTTTTGCAAGTAGGTTATCTTTGATTGGTATTTAGGGCACTGTTAAACACCAATAGATGTTAGAACAAGTTTATTGGAATTCAAGGTTTTTTTTTCTATTCTTATGTCAATCTTTTCAGCTCAATGGCATTTGGTTGACAATTTATTGGGATGATTTGGTCGTAGATGTATTGGAATGTAAGTGAATTCCCTTTACCAAGTTTTGCAATCAGACTATCTTCGGGAATAGCTTAACATATTTTAAATGCCAAGATAATCAAATTCAATAAAAAAATAGAATTAAGGATGAAAAATTTACAGAATATTGCTTAATTGTATATGGTGGCTTAGGGAAAATACTAGCTATGGTGGTTTAGGGTGGTTGAATAAAGACAACAGTGGGTGATGGATTTATAGTAATGAGAGGAGGAAATTTAGGTGGCTGGTTCAAGAGATGGAAGTCAAGATCAGCTAACTCTTTTGCTGATGGGTTAGCTAAGCGAGAGGTCGAGAGGGAGTCAATGTTTTGGGCACGAGTGTAATTTTTTCTTTTTATGTTCTCAGTGGCTCAAGCTTCAGTTGGAAGATAAGAAAGTTTATCTTCCTCTTTGTAATTACTTTTTTTTGGAAAAGGTAAAGCTGGGATCAGACCCAGAAGGGCAGTCTGAAGACCACAGCAGTTACACTTTCCACCAGAAATCAGAACAATAAAAAGAAGACAAATTCAGACTTTTAAATTCCTCAGATACAGATATCCAAGAAGTCAGTTTATCTTCCTTTTTGTAATTACTTCTGTGATTAATTAATGAATTGTTGTTATTGATAAAAAAAAAAATATACTAGCTATAAGCAGGGATTAGAAGTTGCTTTTTCTGACAACAACTTTGTCCTAATTTCATGGAAATGGTTCCTTGGCATGAGACATGTACTCCTCAAACACCTGCTTGTATGATTAATGAATAGGATAAACTGGTCTGAATTCATAAAAGTTGTATATTCTAGCTCAACATCCAAAACTTGCACTAAGTTGGCTTTACGCAAAATTTGGATGGATTTGTAGTTCATATAATCTTTCGTCACCTACTTATTATCAGTTTTCCTCTTGGCAAACGATTCAAATGACTTTCCATTATGTCACTTCAAAAACCCCAACCTCAAACTGATCAAAGAGCATAGTTCATTTAACACAGATTTTATAACCATAGTACCAAAGAAGGTTGAGGATGGATGAACAGCCTGTATATAGGTTACTTAATCTGGATTACATGGGTGCTTTGTATGCACTATATTTTCTAATTTGATAAGAAGGAAAGAAGCACAATAAACCATAAAGGAGGTACACCAATTATCTACCATAAACATTAGGGGTGTCGAGCTTTCCTAATTATCAAAGTAATTTACTAATATTTCAGGCCAAATTGACGTCTTTCCCTACTTTTGAGCTGATGACCTCTAATTATCAAAGTAATTTACTAAAATTCCAGGCCAAATTGACGTCTTTCCCTACTTTTGAGCTGATGACCTTAGTGTCGGAGACCTTGCATTGTGTCTCCTTTCATGCTGGGTGTATGTTTCCTTCAACTGTTTATTAATAAAATCCTTTTTAGTTGACAACAAACAGCAAACTCAGCAAGTCCCAATCACCCTGCCTAATACTGCCCAACTATATAAACAGAATTTTAGAATAAGGTTTTCTACCCCACATATCAATTTGAGGCGACCTTGATCATGTGGTGTTATAAACAAAAATGATGCTATTGTATCCCTGCTCATTACTAAATGCTGAAACATGATCTGTTGCAGTAGTTTCAGGGTATCAACATTCATCATTTTGGAATATGAACTTTATAGAATGCCTAATTCAATTGGTTAGCTATGTCTGTTCAATACCATGACATAGGTTGGTAGTTTGGTGATATCATGACATACATTGCCTTGTAATTAGTGCCCACTTATGGCAAGTTGCATTGCATGAATTGCTCTTTTTTGATCATTTGTGTTTTTTGGTGCCCTTTGGTATAAATCTTTTTCTGATATTCAACATTACAGGACATTCAAACTCGAGGTTGGTTTGGGCCTTTTTCAATGGTTTTGATGACCTGTTGTGCTTCACTGCTGCTTCTGGTTTTTACATCATGATTAAATAAAAATCAGAGGTTTGGCTCTATCATTCTTTCCTCCCATTTCTTCTTGTTCAATGCCAAACTAGCGTGAGGAGGCAGTCAAAAGTTCCCAATTGAATACAATACTTGTAAACGTTTTCACGTATCATCCATTAATCAATGGTAATTACTGATTTTTTTTTTTTTTAAATCCTAACAATATATATTTTGCTTTCTCACAAACAAAGGCAGTCGACATTCCATCACATCACGATTTACATCTTTTAAGGTCTCTTTTAGTTCAATTGACACAGGGGTGATGGAATAGACCCCAGTCTGCTGTTGAGAAGACATGCATTCCCTTGTCAGTGCCATCGCCACAGATTAGAACAAAATTTTCCCCAAGGCTCAGTTTGGAAGGAGTACAAATGCAAATTTATAGAGTGCAAAACTTTGTATTTTATATTATTTTGTATGTATTTGCACTATAGTATTTGTACTCCTTCCAAACTGAGCCTAATATTCTAATCGACTTTATATATTACAATGTTTTTCTCAAGATGAAAAGGATATTTGATTCGCAGTTCAACGACGGTGGTTTTTGAACCCCGCTATAGATGTACCACTTCCCAGTTCCCACTGGAATAGTATCTATTCCCGACCTTGTTGCCAATATAGTTATCCGGTGGAACTACATGTGAGACAAGGAATGAGAAGGTTTGTGTTGTGTATTTTGAATCTTTTGATAACAGAAGATGCTAATTTGTTGAAAGAACAGTGAGAATTGCAGAGCACTAACTCTGCTACTTAAAGGAAGTATGCTCAAGCTTAACTACGCAAAAAAGATGATTGAAAACTAATAATGAAAAAGAAAAGTTCTCATCTGGTGAAGGATGATGATGTTTAATGCAGCTCAAACTTTTTTCAATCCCACCCCAAGCAAGATTATATACAAGAGAGTTATCATATATTAAGGGTTCAACCTGAATGAGATGTTCGTCTTGAATGCCAAATTTCCTGCCTCTGTTACAAAATCTAGGGGCCTCTAAGGCCGCCGTCATTCATTCATTATTGGACAGAGAACGGACGGAAGGGTGATACCGTGATACCAACATTGATATTGAGCCTGCAACTGCAATCTGCAATCAGCCAATCACATCGGCTGTTAATTTTTGCTTTATTCACTAAACAACACAAGATGCAAGTATGGGCACGTAGCGGCACATCGGCTGTACAAGAGGTATTCCTGGTCGTTCTCGTGCTCTCAAAGTTTTTGCATTTAGGAGATTCATCTAGGCTCATGAGGATCGCCAGTTCTTTCGCCCTCCTGGCTCTAGGGGTGGATTTGAGTTGAGTTGAGCCGAGCTGAGTCAAATAGTTAGCTATTCGAGCTTGGCTCGCCAAGATAGTACGAAGCTCAAGCTCGAACCTTGAACTCGAGTTTGGCTTGAGTCAAAAGTTCGTAAATTCGAGTTCGGTTTAACTTGAGAAAAATATTTTATAAAAATAATATATATATATAATATTTAAAAATTAAGAATTATAATAATTAGTTATTATTATATATAAAAATAAAATATTATATATATATAATAATAATAATAATAATAATAATAATTTATTATTATTATTATTATTATTATTATTATTATTATTATTATATGTATGTATGTAGCTATTCGAGCTCGGCTCGCAAGCCTTACGAGCTGAGTTTTATTAGGCTTGAGCTCGGTTTGATTAATAAACAAGTCTGTAAATTGAACTCAAGCGCAGCTCGTAGCCACCCACCTCTGTCTGGCTCTGCATAAATATTTGTATTTGTACGCTTACTAAATTGAGATCGGTAAGGCCATTCAGTTCCAACTAGACTTATTCATAAGCCAAGCTTTGGGCCCAACTTTACACTATCTTGGGCTTGGACTTCAAACCGTGCCGTGCCCATTAGAATTTTGACAAAAATTAAGTTAGACCCTGACCCATGAAAAAGTCTAGTTCCAATAGCCTTGCATTGAGAATATCTCTTTATATCGCTATCTCTATATACTTTATTATTCCCATTCTCAATGAAAGGCCATAAAGAACGGGACCTTGCACTGACTGAAGCCATGATTTCTTCCAATTGCGGCCCACCTTAGCAAACATCCAAGGGACCAAGGCCATGATTTCTTCAATGTGGATCCTGCCTCTACTTCCAAAAGCCAAAAGCCACAGCGTAGAGGCGAGAGGCTGAGAGCCCACCGAAGCTGACATTGGAGTATTATTATTATTATTATTATTATAGTTATCATTGTAGCTCAGCTCTCACATTATTATTATTATAGTTATCATTGTGGAGGCGAGAGGCTGAGAGCCCACCGAAATTGACCTAGTATGTGCATCTCAGCTCTCACATCTATTCGGAGGATTTCGTTTTTCTCGCCCAGACTAGAAACCTTCAAATTTCAAATTAATAATTAAAAGGACGGGACGGTGATGCAGTCAGCCTCACATCGTGGACAAAGTAATACACGGACACGTTGGTTTTCCCGCGGCATCAAACATGCGCTGAGCTCACACCAATTCTGAATCCGCGTGTCATTCATTCAACGATGCCGGTTACAACAAGGTTTGAAAGAGCTTAATTAGTTTGGTGGTTGTCTCTCCACCCATCTGCCTTGTATCATAACTTATCATCTCATACTTTTTGCTTGTTGAAATTGAATGTAAGTTTCCATATACTAGTTATTGTTTGAGAATATCAACTTATTATTCAATGACCTCATCTAATAACATAAGTTTTTAGGTTGAATGATTCTTTGAGAGTTATTAAAAAATATATAAGAAAAGAAGAGCAGAGGATCTTAGGCAAGGCTATATATATTATTGGCCACATCATGGAATAGAATTGTGAAGACAGAGATCAGAGCGAGAAAGACAGATAGAGCAGGGGTGACCTGACCTACTGATCGAACACAAATTAAGGAACATATAGACTAGAGAGATGGCTGCTCGCACGGATTTGCTTGGTTGCTTGCTTGTTGCCATTGTAGCCGTGTTGCTACACCCTTCCGCAGCACAATCGACGACCCATGTAGTGGGAGACAGCTTGGGTTGGAGGATTCCTCCTGGCGGCCCAATCGCCTACTCCACCTGGGCTTCCAGCAACACCTTCATGGTCGGTGACATTCTCGGTAAGATTCTTATCCCTCTCCGGCTCTCTGCTAATGGGTCTTTGCCTGCAGAATAATTAGCTTAGCTAGATGAATAGAGAATAGTTGGTCAATTAGATGTTTTGGTTTTCAGTGAATCATGCTCTAATTAATTAATGTTGGCATCTCTTTTACGTACGATGTTTCTATGTTTCAGTGTTCAACTTCACCACCGGACAGCACGATGTGGCCGAAGTGACCAAGACAGATTTCGATAACTGCGATGGGAGCAGCACCATTGGTTCCGTGCAAACGACCGGCCCGGCAAGGATCACACTCAACTCTCAAGGCCAGCACTACTATATCTGCACCTTCAACGGTCATTGCGCAGTTGGTCAAAAGCTAGCCATCAACGTCTTACCTTCCGGCAGCAGCACCACACCTTCATCGTCAGGAAGCCCAACCTCATCCCCAGCTCCCACGGCAGGAGGATCCGCCCCTAACTCTGCCCCTGCTGTTGCTGTTGCCGGCATCTCTGCCACTTTGTTGTCCTTCACTGTTGCCTTCTTGTTTTAGATATATACACTAATAACTATTGTAGTTGTAGGCTGTTTTTTATTTTTATTTGTTAGATTGTATTCTCTTCATACATATATACATACTACTACTTCATTTATGTGATACGTGATTGACTGTTGCATTGTATGTATACAATTGACAGATTACGTTTTGTATTGGAAATAATAAGGTTGTTTGATTTTCAGCCACTACTATTATATAATATACAATGCTCTGATCATATTGATAATTGGGTGGATTTTCTTATCCTTTATTTGATGGTATATTTACTTTGTAACTCGCATCGATCAGCTAGCTAGCTCTACCTTAGACACTGTATTCTTTTATAACTGTGATTAAGTCAATTGACCGGATTTGGTCCAATCTGACCCGATCCAATACGAGTCCATTACAAATAGATCAGGTACAATTCAATCTAATGAATATTCTGTGCCATTTTCAATGAATTCAATTCAATGTCTAAGCCGTTTAATTTGTTCAAAATGTTTTTAATTTAGATTGGTTCCAACCTAAACTTGGTTCATTGACACCTGTAATTCTTATCTTTTATAAATGAACCCGATATTGATTCAATATGGTGCAATCTAATATAAATCCATTATGGATGGATCAGGTCCAATCTAGTTAATCCACCAAACACTTTAGGCCATTAAATCTGAACTGGTCCAATTCAATCTAGTTAATCCACCAAATACTTTAGACCATTATTGCTCCATCTAATTCATCTAAATTGATTTTGATTTGAATGAGTGAATCTCTGGATTGGGCAAATGAACTACACTACACCTAATGATGCATAGGAGCTCTATATCGTTTGTAGAAGGACGTATGCTATATTGCCAGGTATAAGATTGTTTAGTCATCTACATGCTTTCTCTAAGCCAATCTGGCAAGAAGCGTATTCAAATTTAGCGATGATGAGATGGATGAAAATGATGTTACACACATCTATATTGCCAGGTCTCGTTTATTAGTCATTGGATGCAAAGTTGAAAAGCGTTACAAAATTTGTTGTTTTGTCACAACAACATTACTGAAACTGAAAATCAAAGTATGGCTGTATGAATCAACGTGTCATATGGAAAGAGAAGTTTTGGCAATGAATTGAAAGATATTAAACCTGAACACACTCTGCAATTCAAAGTGATAGGTTGGGTTACTTAGCCAACAGACATTAGGATGAAATTAGGGTTTATATATAACGTGAGTGGGCTCGGGTTTGGAGTTGTTAAAATTTAAATGGGCCTCCTTGATGATGCGGGAAAGAGTTTTTATAAAACCAGATACCGTTGGGTACCCAATTTACAACTCTAGAAGAAATGTTTAAGCACTTGGTCGCTACTCGCTAATAACATGTTCTCAGTTCTTATAAAACCAAAGTAGATTTGATGAAGATCGATCCTTAATCTCTCATTTTTAATCTCGTGAGTGCAGCAATACACACATGAACCCCACTGCCCTATTTTAATGTCATCTCCCCAAATAAGCCTCATGAGGTGTGTTTGTATAGTTGTATGGGGTCCATTCAGCGTGTTTATTGTAACATATTAGAGAATGATCATACTCTAGTAATCATGGAGCTAGTATTTTGATCAATTTTGTTTGATACCCATTATTTATATTGTAAAGTAGAAGAGCCCTGTGATACATGATCTGGTGTTAGAAAGATGCTTATGTTAAATTCAGTTTTTTTTAACTGAACTAGTTGTGGATGAATCTAAATAGTCCCATATTCAGTATCTTTTTATTTTAAATATTAAAAAAATGGAAAATCTATGATGCGGGAAAGATATGCTATCGAAAAAGTTTTGATCAATCAAAACCCATCCATAAATTTTGATAAATAACACTTGATTGACTACCACACTTTAGGATTCTAATTGATTGTCAGACATTTTTCAGATATCATATCTTTTCCATATCATAGTCGAACCCAAAAAACTACAAGATTCTTAGTTCCTTCCTCTCTCCATGCTTTTTCATATTCTCTCCTAGATCAGCAAACAAAGCGGCCCATTGTTTATTTTTTTAGCACATCAAGCCCTCTCTGTATCTTCTGTTTTTTACTTGGGACTCGACTCTTACCTTTTTGGAGGCATGCATTGCTTGTGACTTATCCATGAGTTTTTAATGAAGTTCACCTCTTATTAGGCTTCCAAAAAAAACTACAAATTTCTAAAAGGGATTTGGAAGCAATATGAGAGTCTGACGTCGATAACTATATTTAGGTTAGTTTTCTATTTGATATCTTTAATATATAAACATGTTATTTAATTTAAGAGATTTAATCAAATTTTATTTGTAAACAATAACCCATTGCATGCATGGATCCAGCATCATTTGGAATAAGTTTGAAAGATAACACCACTGGTTTGACGGCTTTGTTGCAATGTAATCATCCCTTGCTGCCCCACCCCAAATAATGGAGGTTTCTTTCATGTTTGCATCAAAGTCCCATGCATATAACGTGGATACAAAATGTGGTGTGGCCATATTAAATTAAATCACCTATGGTGTGCTCAAATCGATTTTGTGTCAAAGGTAAAATCATTTTATGATGTTTGGCATGGAATCATAATATCGTAATGGAAAGTAGAATCATTGAAAAAAATAAAATAGAAATTATTATTTTTAATAATTACTATTTATTATCATAATTAATAATTATTATATCGTCCTATGTACTATACAATAAATTAATCATTCAATTTATGGCAGACCATCGGTTCTGTCTTCCCTGCCTAACATTAAAAACCTTTTTTTATTAGAATTTACACCAAGAGAGAATATTATAGTGAGGCGTAGGATCATAAATATCTTGCTTATAATGATCAATATGCAAGATCATTTGTGCTCTCTAACTCTAACATAGAACTCAAAAGACTTCCTTTTATTTCAATCTTAACCAACCTTGCACAATTTATACGGGAAGACTTCAATAAGAAATTGTCAATGAAGTAATAATTTGGGTGAAATTTTTCCTGATTTGATTGTCACATATTAGCAAGGTTCAAAGTATTGGTAGGGCATATCAGCCTGTATCGGTATTTTTTTATGCTTTATTTTTTTTTTCAAAACCAATTCAAAAGAATCGGTTTGAGTCTCGGATACCCTCTGAACCATGGTCTGACCTGATACAACCCCTATAGGGACATATTGAAAAGCCATCGGCACGATACGTATCAGCCTGTAAATTTGTTTTATAAGCACTCAAGACCAATTTTGTCATTTAACTTTTTTTTCTTATGTTGATAATATACCCATGTCCCCCATAGGAGCTGTTGTGTAGAGCAACACCATAACCATAACACCCCTTGCCCCTAAACTTGGTGGCAATAGGATTAATTGAAACCTATGTTTTGGCTACAACAAGCTCAGGATTATACAAATTGACATTGTGCCACCATCATTTGGTCAACACTTGGAGCTTATAAAATTTAGTAAAAAAAAAGAAAAAAAAATAACTATGCTTGGACAATCTTGTAATAATATATATATATATATATATATATTTGAAATTTAATTATATATATATATGAAATTTAATTGGATGAGAGAAGATGTTATAAATATTGACTATCTAGGGGAGAGAACAATCTTACTATTAGCAAGAGTAATAGTGGATATTAGAGGCATTTAACACCAGTAAGGGTTTCTTAATTTGACTTCTTATATTTTTATGATTCGACATGTAAATAATGTTAAAAAGTTAACAAATTAAATTAAATTTTTTTGTTATGTTTGCTTCTGACCAACCTGTCATGCATAAAAAATTAACAAATTATATTTTTTTAATTCATCAAAAGAAAATGATGTAAAAGATTCTCATCTTCAAAGCAGATTGAATGTTAGCCACTGAACCAGTAGTCAAACCCAATGTGAATATCATTCAAAGTCCAAAACTTAGGTCAACTCTAATGGATCAAGAAGGATCATTTTATAACTATAATTTATAACTTGAAAATTCAACATTTCAAAACAAGAGGATAGGACAAACCCAACAGGTAGAAATATCAAATTTCATTTCCTAATCTGGATTAAAAAGTTAGCTCATGTCCTTTAATAATAAATTAAATTCCATTTTCTTTCTTAATCTACTTGTTCATCCTGAATTTAAGGCCTAACAAGTTGTAAAAATACTTAACAACATTACTGTGGATGAGGTTTTAAATATAAGTTTCACTATTGATCATTATATTATTGGTGAGAAACTAAGGCTCAGTTTGAAAAGAGTATAAATGCAAATTTATAGAATGCAAAACCTTATATTTTGTATTATTTTATAAGCATTTGTATTATATATATTTGTATTTGTATATTTTCCAAACTGAGCCTAAGGCTGTTTTTGATTGCGGTGCAAATACAATTTTGCACACTGTAATGATGTCTTGTCTGATTCAAGTGAATACAAAATGGAACCGGATTTCGATTTTCTTTTGTTCTCTTTTTGTTTGGCATTTAACAATACAGAGTATAATGCAGTTTTGTGAGCGTTTGATTTATAACATGAAAACAATTGGAAGGGTGACTGCATTGCTGGAAATATGCAGTTCCAGTTTTAGTTCTAGCCAGTGTGTCTTGGCTATGTTCAGATTTAGACAAATGGGTTTATCGGAAAGATCCAAAAAGAGAGTTTCAGTTCTCAAACCGGTTAGCATTTGATTTTTACCGAGAAGCAGAGTTCACAAGTAAATAACATTCATCAAATTTGGTGATTTCAACATTAACACCCAAACCAAAATCCAACCAACTCACAAGTTACGACTTCAACAACGGAAGAGCCTTCATGAGTTTCAGCAGTCTTCTGTGACGGATTGAAATTGATCAAGGACTCCGGTTGCAATCTAAATGAATCATTACGATTGGTGTTGATTGTTGAATGAAATTCTCGGAAACCCTCTCAGTCCTGCCAACTATAGCCACTGGATTTCATTCTCCTTTCTCTTGCCTTTTCTCTCTCCAAAAGTATAATTCAATTGTTGAAGAAGAGAGTTCAATCATTCACTTGTTGGTGCTTCTAATATTTATGATCTTGATTTCTTCCAAAAAAATATCAGACGAATCGACTATGAAATCCCATACCTTCTAGATGTAGAAGCCACCAGTGTAGCAAGAAGTCATCGGTATCTTGGATCATTGGTTAAATTTGCAGGTTCAGAGGTCATCAATGGAAAACAATTGAGATTG